TAACCTCAATTGCCGAAAAAATAAATAAAAATAAAAAAAGAAGTGTTTTCTAAAAAAAAATCAAAAAAACAGGCCTTCTAATTTAGAGAAGAGAGTACTACAGAGCCCTCAGTATCACCAGCAGGTTCCTCTTTGCCAACTAAGCCACTCAAAAAATGAAAGGAAATGTATTATCAAGATACCCTGTGCCTACCTTTGAATGGCTTACCCGGTATAAGTCATAGAGAGTGGGGTGAACTACACACCCAACACTACAGCTAGATAGCAGTAACTACACAAGGCTGAGGACAAGTAAGAAACATGTCTCAGACCTCATAAACCCAGTCATAAACATCATCTGCAGGACCTTGTGATGTTGGCCCTAGAGGAACACTACCAGATGTCCAAAGGAGAAGACAAGGGTTGACACCAAAAAGGCAACAAATAAGACTGAGTTTCTTTTGAAAAGGTAAATCCTGTGGACTTCAACCACAGCCATCATGATCTAGGCTCAGGTACTACACTAAACAAGGTGAATCAGTGTTGTAATGGGGAGCTGACAACCATACTGAAAATCCCTGGGGCAGGGATATGGAAAGCAAGGCTTTTTAACATCAATACCTCTGCCAGGACCCCCACCCCTGGAGGAACCTACTCCATGAAGCTGCCCCAGTGCCAGTGCTGAGGGCTGGTCCCTGGCCAGGGGCAGCCAGCTGCAGAGGGCGGAGCTCTATTTTGAGCCTGGCCACGTCTGGTTTGAGCAGCATGCGGCCCTAGTGACTCACACACCCATGCAAACCGCCTGTGGCTCTGTGGCACAGCCCCGGAATGCCAACCCTGGGCCAGCTCCCTCCTCACCCCATTATGCTGGGATAAATAAATAAAGAGTCCGCCAGCAGCCACACAGCCTGATGGCAACCAGATGGGAAGGAGGATGCATAGAGAAGGCCAAGGGGCAGGAACTGCTGTGAGGGACTCGGCTGAGAGGGGGAGTTATGTAGGCCTAGTCATCCTTTCAGCCCAACTCCCTCAGGCAACAGCTACGGTCCAGCTATGTTCTTTCTTAGGCACTAACCATCCCTAACTTTTTAGCCCTTTTCCTAACCCTGAAGCTTCCTCTTAGCTCCTAGTCCTGGGAAATGTCCCATGTGCGATGTTGCCAGCTGCCATTCTATTCAACCCCCATCTCTTTTGTTTTCCTCTTGAATCTAGGATGCCAGGCTCCCTCTCATCAGGCCCCTGACCAAGGGACCAGGGATGAGAATAAGAAATAAAGAATCCCAGGGAAGAGAGGAAAGGGCCATCAGAAAGAGAAGCCCAAGCGAAGAAAGAGAAAAGATTTGTCATTTGTAAAGTGGGTTTCAAACTGAAGATTTGTTATTACTCCCAACTTAGCCCTATTCAACATTCAAGTTCTTTTCCCTGTCTTGCCATCCCCCCACCCAGGGTGACTTCCACAGAAGCCTACCCACCCACCTAGAACATCATCTCTGGCCCCCTGCCCAACTTGATTCCCTTCAGGAAACACAGACCCCAGCTACTGACCCCCTGGCCCCCTGACGTCAGCCCTGGCCCTCCATCCTTCATTTAGAGCTCTGTGTCCACAGTTTGTTTATCTTCCTATTCAATGTTGCTTATTTTAATGGTACATCCTCCCAGCTCAGTCCTGGGTGACCCCCTGACCTCACTGTGTCCTGTTTGCAGGAGCTGCAAGAAGAGTATTTGGTGGTCATGATAGGACCACTGAATAGTGCTCAGAGAAACCTTCCAGTTTAAGCAGTTATATATGCCACACTAGATACATAGCAGGGTACTCTAAGAAGCCATGGGGGTTCTTCGTTGACCCTGATACTCTCCTTCCCACAGAGCCTTCAAAAATGTTCATGACTCAGATAAAACAATGGGATGGGATACAGTGCAGAGAGCACTAGATTAGGAGTTAGGAGCCCAGGGATTTTAAGTCTAAACTTGACACTAGGGAACTGAGGGACACTGTCACACAATCAATTAATCTCTCTGGGCCTCAGTTTCTCACTTATAAAATGAGGAGTGGCTAGACTAAATGATTTATAGCCCCTCTGAACTCTTAAGATTCTACAAATTTGAAATATCAGTATTGCATAATGAACCTAGAAGGGCAATATCCCCTTCTCCAAGCAGGTCCATGGATTCCACAGGACTTTTCTCTCCACTCCTACAAGCCCTTTACCCAACAGGGGGACACAGAGAAGCATCATGCTTCAAATGTCATAGGTGGGAAAAACAAGGTTCTGAGAGAAGTGACTTAGGAAAAGGTTTCAGACACAGTTCTAACTCTCAGTCTCACACTGCCCACAGGCCATGAGGCCACACATTTCACTCAAGGCCCTATGCTCCAAGTTCTAATTTAGCCACCAGAATACTGCCTGCATCATTCTACTAAGAGACTGAGATGGGAAGGTAGCCTTACCTCGGCAGAAAAACACAGTGGATACACCAGCTGCCAGGCAAGACACTAAGCCGGCTTGCACCACCACTGTCACCGTATCCTCCCTTCACCTCAGAAAGGCTTAACTAAAACTTGTGGCTAAAGCAATAGGAAGTTACTTGGCACAGGGGGCCAAAGCAGGCCAAGTTTGACTTTAACAGTCTCGGTGACATTTACACAATGACTTTAAGTTTACAAAACATTCTCCTCACAAGAACCACTGCCCGTAAGAGGGCTTATCAGTGCTGGACCCATGATTCAAACCCAGGTCTCCTGATTTCAGGTCCAGCACTATTTCCATTACAGTATGCTGTCTTCCAATGAAGACTGAGCCATCTATGGTTCCAGAGAGCAAGAGAAAGAAACCTCTGGTTACCACTTAAACAATTGAAAGGGAAATGGGCTGGGGGGAGGGGGGGGAGACCGGGGGGAAGGTGACTCGGATATTACAGCAGAACAGAAGGTTCTAAGCCATATTCTTTGTGCCATGCTAGGCGTTATGTGATACAGAGTATAAACACAGTGCATGTAGACAAGAAGTTTATCATTGAGTTAAGGTGATAAGAAATACACACATATGACAGTAAATAAGACAATATTTTATATACATATATATATACATACACACATGAAACAGTGGTGTGTGTGTATATATATACACATACACATACATACATATATCTTAGCGGTATATAGTGTTAAACTGTGTAGTCTATGCAGACAATATAAGTTAGAAAAATAAAAAGCTATTTATTATAAGTACTTACTATATAATACATTCAATAGGTGGAAAAAAGCTAGAAAGGAAGGAATTCAATATGTACTGAAAACAGCAGGAAAGATTTTTAAAAACTTTTTTTTGCAGAGTGTAGATCTATTAATGGAGACCTAGGCAGGAACTTCTGACAGGCCCCTATTATCTGTTCTGCCTTCCTATATAAGCTCCCTTGTACACAGTATTTAGCCAGTCTGCTGACTAAAACAAGGTGGTTATTGAATGGTTGTTAATCTCTTCCTCCACCACCACCTCTTGCATTAATAGGGGTTGAAGGGATGTGGACAACTAGTGCTACACTGAGCTGCTTCCTCGACGTCCCAATCCAGACACTGCCCTCAAGTCACAATATTCACCCCAGACTCCACCCTCACAATACCATACAGAATAAACCAAAGATCAGTTAATAGGAAAAGTTAGGTCCCAAAGGACTAGAAAAAGCCTAAATGCTAGATAAGAAACATTCTGCAAACTTTACATGGTACACTGTCTGAGGCTTATAGGACATCCAGACCCAACCACACACATCTCCTTGTATACTGAGAAGATTAACTAAACTGGTCTGCGACACCCAATACTTATGACATACATTATGCTGCTACTCAGCTTGTAACATACTAATATTCAATTTCATCAGTGGGGAAATGACACCTGGGCATTTCCCCCTTGATTAGCCAAAGTCTAGCCCTGGACCACCATGCTAGTTTAGGTTCTTAATACCTGTTACTGGACTATTCAAACAGCTCATCCTAAGTTCGACCTCCTGTGTGAAGCCTTTTGTGATCTACTTGCTATCTACCACATTTAATTTGTATGGTACTTCAAGGGTAGAGTCTGGGGTAAATACTGTAATAGTTCTTGACCTCCTCCTCAAATTATCATGTATATACGTAGTTATCACCCCCCGGTTCAACATAAACTCCTTGAGGGTAGGAACTGGTTTTTTTGTCTTTGTAGTCTCAGTACCCAGCAGAGTGCCCTGCAAAAAGTAAGCACTTAATAAATGCTTCTTGGATGAGAAAAGATTGGAATTCACACAGCTGAATCATTAGGCTACACTGGCACTGGCCTAATAAGGATTTCCCACATGCATGGCATGAACTATGCAATAAAGGAGTAAAGTACTAAGTCTGAAAGGATCAGATGGCTGTTGCCAGAGCCCTTGTGAAGACTGCAAACACTTAGCTCTACTTTGGCCCAGTAAAACCATTCAACAAGAAGTTACTGACGTGAATCACCCGGCTTTGAACCTTGACTGAGTCAAAGCCAACTGAATCTGCAGAGATGGGCAGACTAGAACACTGTTGCCACTGCCCAGGAATCTCAGGGGAGGACACTCCTAGGGCCCATCAGCTCAAACACAAGAACATCTACCATGCACCACCACATAAACAGTATCCTTGTCACAGTGTTAAAGCTAAGGTTTTTAATCACTGTGTGAGAGATAAATGCCTTTTCAATGCCATGTGGTTGACATCTTTGTTGTGGTGCTATAATTTTCTGAACCCCTAATAAATGGTTTTGGGGGATTCAAATGTTAGTTTACTTGTTACTTCTGACAGTAAAAAACTAAAAAAAACTAAAGACATGGTGTCTCTTACCACCTATACCTGTCAAACTAAACCAGCTTCTTTGTGGGTGACTTTTTCAGAAAAAAAAAAGCTCTTTGATTCTTTTAGGCTTAAAAGTATCAGGAAGATCATAGTCCCTAATCAGTGACTGGGGAAGAGATAGGAAAGGGAAGCTATCTGGGGAGGAAGGAAATAGCAGAACTCCTACCTCTGTCACGACTTGCTCCAGGACAGCATTCTCATCAAATAGCTCTGTCTTCAATCGATCTGTAACCAGAAAAGAAAGAAAAAAGAAATGAGCCTAAGGATCCATACCTGTACAACAAAGAGCCAGATCCAGTCCTGTCTAGGATTATTTGTTCATTCATTCAATCAAAAATCTACTAGAAGCTCACTACACAATAAGAACTAAACCTTTTAAAAATACCTTGTGTATGGCACACAGTAACAGCAATATTATAATGACGATCAAATGAGAAGACTTATCTACTCTCATCAAGGCAATGAACCAAGACAATTCTGAAGGATTCATAATCAGAAATGCTGTCCACCTCTAGAGACTGAACTGATGAACTCTGAGTGAAAATTAAAGTATAACTTTTTCACTTTCTTTTTTTTTTTTGCAACATGGAAATATGCTTTGTATGATTTCCCATGTATAATTCACATCATATTGCCAGGCAGGTCACTTTACCTCTTTATGCCTCAATTTCCTTAACTTTAAAATGTGGTGTAATAAGAGTGTCTACCTCTCAGGGTTGCTGTGAGCATAAAATTTGTTTAAAAGCACTTTGCAAAGCAAAAGGAGTTATGATCATGCTCTTGGATTCCTTGTCCTATCACACTGCTTTTGAAAAATCCTAGTCATGGAATATTCCCATTATGCAACTCCTCCCCTACTACTCACAAGTTATTAAGTAAAAAAGAAGGCAATCCCACAACCATTCTGACTGGGTACATCACAAATTCATGCAATCCAGCCTCACCTGGGTCCTCACTGCATGCAGCAAGGCAGACCTTTTATTCCTGATTGATTCCTTATCTCATGCCCCACTGATGTTACTCCAAACCTCTTCTTTCCTCCGGAAGTCTACCCATTCCTCCCCCTCCCCCTCCCCCTATCAGCTGGGAACACCACCTCTTAATTTGCTGAAAACATTAAGGCCATTCATCATGTGTTCTTCTCTCATTCTCTTCATCACCAAACCACTTGACATCACCTCAAATTCACTCCTTTTGCCCAGTGTCTGACAAAGAGGTGGTTGTGCTCCTCGCCAAGGCCAATCCCTCTACATGTGCACTTGATCACATCTTTTCCCGTCTTCTTCAATAGAGTGCATCAATCCTGGAACCTTCAACTTTTGCCTGTCAAGTGGTTCCTTCACCATTGCCTTTAAACATGCCCAAATCTCTTCTGGCTTAAAAAAATCTTCACTAAACCCCACTACCCCCTCAAGCTATCATCCATGATCTCTTCTCCTTTTCTCAGATAAATTCCTTGAAAAAGTTGTCAACACTCTATACCTTTACTTCCTCAACCCTTTGCAATCTGGATTTTGACCTAATCACTCAATGAATACTGCTCTGTTCAAAGTTGCCAATCATCTCTTACTTGCCAAATGTGATAGTATTTTTTCCTTCCTAATTCTTCTTGACCTGTCTGTCTCATTTGACCCTGCTGATCATCCTCTTCTAGATACTCTTTCCTTTCCAGGTTTTCATGCCACTACTCTCTCTTGGTTCTAATCACTCTTCCTCTTCTACCATTCTGATCTTCTCTGTCTTCTCAGTCCCTTTTGCTGGATCATTATCCACATCAAGCCCCTTTGGGGGTATTTCCTGAGGTTCTGCCCTGGACCTCTTCTTTTCTCCTTCTATACAATCTCTCTCTCTCTCTCTGTGTGTGTGTGTGTGTGTAACCTCATCAGCTCCCATGCGTTTAACTTTCATTTCCATGCAGATAACTCTCCAACCTACAGATCTGGCCCCAGCTGTTCCCTCAAGCTTCAGTCTGTCTATTAGATATGTCACACTGGATGTCCTGGAGACACGTTTAACTCAACTTGTCTAAAACTGACCTCATTCTCTTTCTCCCAAACTTCCCTATTTGTTTCAAAGGCAACACCATCCTTCCAGTGTCGCAAGTTCATAATCTCTACATCATCCTTCATAGCTCACTCTCTCCACTCACTCCACATATCCAATCAGTCATTGAGTCTCACCATTTCTGCTTTCACAATCCATCACATCCAAACTTGTCTCCGCTCACACAGCTGCTGCCTTAGCTCAGATTCTCATCATCTCTCACTTAGATTAGTGCAAACAGCCTCCTACTTAGTCTCCCTGACTCAAATCTCTGCCATTTCGGACCATCCTCCACATTGCTGCCACAGTAACTTTCCTTAAGCATAGATCACAAGACTTCCCTACTCAACCACCACCACTGATTTCATCTTGCCTCTAGAATCAAATATAAACTCCTCTGATTGGCATTTAAATTCCTACAAAATATGCCCCAACCTACCTTTCCAGCCTTGTGGAACGTCATTCTCTCTCCCACACGCTGAGGCTCAGCAAAACTGGACTTCTCATAATGCCTCCAGCGTTTAGCACAATATCAAGCATATAGTAAGTGCTTAATAAATGTTTATTGATTGATTGATTCTTCCTCACTCATGACAATCCATTGCCCACCTCCATGACTTTGTACTGGTCACCTCCCATTCCTGGAATGCATTCTTTCCTTACCTCCAAGACCTCAGAAAGTCCTTCTCTTCCTTTAAGATACAGCTCAGACACTCTCTTCTGCAGGAATACCTTTACTGATCCCCCAACTACCTCTCTCAAATTATTTTGTATTTAACTTTTTGTGTATATGTGTGAATATATATATAATATATATAATATGTATTAACTTTATATTTATGCTGTATATATTTTTATATATACTTGTTGTCTCCCTCATTAGAATGTAAGCTCACTGCAAGTAGAGATTATTTCAGTAGCTGTGTTTCTATTTCTCAGATTCTAGCACACAATGTCTGACACACAGTATCACTTAATAAATATTTGATGATTAATTGATTTCTGCCCTCATGGAACTTACAGTCTAGATAGTAAAGGAAACACAAACAGATAACATGCACTATTACATGAGAAATGCATTAGATATGTATAAAACAAAATGCCTTATATGGTCTAAGGGGAAAAGGTCATTATTAAGAGAGGATCAGGCAGGGGCAGCTAGGTGGCGCAGTGGATAGAGCAGCAGCCCTGAAGTCAGGAGGACCTGAGTTCAAACCCGGCCTCAGACCAAACACTTGACACTTACTAGCAGTGTGAACCTGGACAAGTCACTTAACCCCAATTGCCAAAAAACAAAAAACAAACAAAAAAAACCCTACATATCCGCCCCAACTAGTCCCCTCTAACCTCGGCTCAGTACAGCTCCATTCTCTTGGTAGTCTTGGATTTCTGCATCCTTCAGCCGAAGCAAAGAAGTTAGCTCTCTCACCTGGCACTGCAGTACCAGACTCATGCCCATCAGAGGACGTATGAGATGCTGGAAAACCTTTGAAAAAGGAAATGTCAATCATTAAAAACTGTTTATATAACCCCCTCATGTACTATAATAAGAACATGAAGAACAGGCTAAAAGAGTAAAAATGATCTCCACTCACTCACTCACTTACATACAAATTCATTCAGTATTTATTAAGTGCTTGCTCTGTGCCAGGCAACAGGCGAGGTTCTTGACATGTAGAAACAAAAATGAAATAGTCCTTGCCTTCAAGGAGCTTACATTCCAGGGGGGGAAAAAACATATATAAGGGATAGATTTCATTAGTACAGGGAACTCCCAGGAGAGGAAATTCTCTCCACCCATACAGTTTGGCACCACCTCTGCAATTTATAATCTTCAAGAGTTGCCTAGGGCTAAGGAGGTAAGAAGCTACTCAGCTTCATGGCCAGTGTGTGTCCGAGGCCAGGGACATACAAGGACACATCTGTTAACATAACGTAAGGACAAAGTAATTTCACAGTACAGAATGCTAGCTACTGAGGGGATCATGAAGAGATTTCAGCAGGAGGTGACACTTGAGCTAAGCTTTTAAGAAAGCAATAGAGTAAGAGGCCAAAGTGGGCAAGTACATCCCAAGCCTGGGAACAAGTGAGGCAATGATGGAGAGAGGAAATGAAACACTAAACAAGCAACAGAGATGAGGTCACTGAGAAAGGAACCTAGAATGCATGAAGGGGAGTACAAAGGAATATGCCTAGAAAAGAAGTGTGGAGTTGGACTGTAAAGGATTTTAAATGCTCAAGAGAGAATTTCGTAATAGGAAGCCACAGGGACTTTTTGAGCTAGGCAGTGCCATGTTCAGACTCAGATGGTTTAGGAATATACACAGAAGTTTACCATCTCATAGGAGACACAAAATAGGCAAACAAGAAATCAACATAAATAGAATTACATTTATAATTATAAAAGTTATTGGAGTAACCATAGGAATTTTTCTGTTTTATTAAAGAAGGGGTAGAAACACTAAGGAAAAGTTTCCTAGAACTGATGGCCATAAGTTGTGATTTAAAGAGAAAGATTTTGTATGGTAAAGAAGAGTGGAGAGATTGAATCAAGAATTTGCAACAGCTTGAACAAAGGCTTAGAGGCCAAGAGTGAAAGAACAGGAGTGAGAGGAAGCATGAGAAAGTCACCCAGGCTAAAATGGACAGTGCTAGCTAGGATACAGTATGAAACAAGAAACATAAGAGGAAAATAGGTTGAGAACTTTGAAGAATATATTAGATCTAGATAATTATTAGGAACCATTTTAGCTTTGGTAGCAGCTCCAAGGTCCTTTGAGATCAAGGTTGATATCCTAATTTTTTCAATCTGTTCACATAAGGGCTGCAAAGCCTAAAGGTTGGTGGTCAATAGTTAAATCCTGTGCTAAAATAACCAGCTTGCCATCAAGAGATCAGCAGCCCTTCACAAGGCAGGGAAGGAAGATCTCTTAGGCCTAGAGATGTCAAGATATTGCTAGGGTATTTCTCTGATCTTTTGAATTTAATATGAAAATGTCCTACTAGCAAAGTATAATGGTTTCTTTCTCCAGTAGGAATTTCCCATTAGTCAATCAATAGTCTATTATCTTGCTTGGCTCTTGTCCCAGCTACTCCCGTAGAGGGGAGATGGGGAAAACCTAAGATGAGAAAAAGAGGGTTTTAGGGGAAAGTTAAGATGAAAGAAGGGAATCAGAGACTGGGATGTCTTTAAACTGCGCTATCCAATCTGTTCTGTGGATAAATTTAAATTAGGGTCAAAAACCCATACTCTATAAACCTCAACTACTCCTATGCTTTTTTTTTTTTTTGCATCTTCGACAATTTTTTTTAGTTTACTATTAGAAGTTTCTTCTGAAAAACATCAACCTTATAAAGAATTCATTAAAATTTATAAGTATAAGAGACAGCTTCTGAGTCACATGAGCAACAAAATAGAAGACTAGCCTTTTTCTCTGATCCCCAAGACCTCTTCAACGATTTCAAAACAGAAATTATGCATCAAACATAAAACAACTTCAGCTGTCTTCATGATCTAGGAAACTCAGAATCCAAAAGAAGATTAAAAAAAAAATTTAAAAACTTGAACGTCATGACACTCACTGACCCTGAGCTCACTCAGCACCCCTCCCCCATACTACTGGCAGTGAAGCTGCACTAATAGACCCAAGGACTGGCTTACAACAAAAGACAACTCCACACCTCAGCTCCTCGCATTCCCTCATTCCAGTGCCAGGGAATCCCCAGCACCAGGCTGCAGAAGTTTGCTTGGGCCTCTGACAGTGCTGTAGCCCTTCAGAGAAAATGCCTGCCTGGGGAGATGGGGATGGGGGCGGTGGGCAAGATGCCAACCCTATAGCACTAGTGATGCAAAGCTCTAAATTGCTAGTAGTGGGCCAGAGAACTGAAGAATACAGGGAGAGGGACAAGACACCAGGACAGGACACTGGCAGGGTATATGTAGGGGGTGGGGGGATGCAGCACTCCATTAAGCCTTAGGCAAAGAGTTCAGCATCCAGTTGGGGCCTGTTCTGTCCCCTAAAAGTCATCTGGGGCAGAGATCTAAGCTAGTGAAACATGAACTGCCTACTCTGGAAAAAGGCTGACATGCTTTGAGATCTAGCTCCCAAGGAAACTACCATTAGAGAGAACAGTTAGAAAGTGAACAATATGGGAAAATCAAAGGGGGAAAAGAGCCCTGAAATTACCAAAGATCTCAGGAAGAAGAAAACTCAAAGACTTTTAATATAAGCAGATAAATCAACAGGGAAAATATTAACAACAGAATGAAATGTGGCCTCCAGATCTAGCAAACAAGTTTAGCCATCTATGAATAAATACTGTTTAAAAAAAAAAAAGGAAAATGATCCAACATCTGATGATACAAAGGACCTTATGGACTATGCAAAGAACATGGAACCACAAAATATTGTTCCTGAGTGGTTCAAAAGAGAAATGAGAATTATGAGAGCAGAATTTATGACCTATACAGCAAAAATAATGTGCAGAATACAAAATTTGGAAACTGTGATGGCAAGTCTCATCAAAGAAACAAAAGAGAACTATAGATTGGGAATGCAAATACAGAGAAGTAAAGGACAAGCTTAAGGAAGAGAAGCAAAAAACAATAATGTTAAAAGAAAATATGTTCACTATCTAAGCAAAGCATACCATCTCAGAGATAAGATATGTAGAAACAATATAAGGATTTTGGGTCTCCCAGAACAACATGACAGGACTTTGAAAAAACCCTTAACACCATAATACAGGAAATAATATAGAACTTCTGAATGTAGAAAATGAAAGAATTCATAGACTACCTCCCACAGGGAAAAAAAAAAAACCAAGGCTGCAAACTCCGAGACACATAATGGTTAAATTTAACAATTCAACTGAGAATCAACAACAAGTTCTACAAACCATCAGGAGAAAGACATTCAAATACAAAGAAAAGGAAATTTGAATAAGTCAAGACTATTCTGTACCCATCAAAAATGTAGGAGGGAATGGAATAATGTGTTCAGAAAAGCAACGGAGCTAAGGATGCAGCACAGGGTGACTTACACCGCAAATCTGAATTTAACCATAAATGAAAAAAATATAGATGTTCAATAATAGAGGCATTTGAAACATTTTTAGAAAGAAATCAGAACTGAAGAGACAATCTGCTTCTCAAATACCCTCAAACAAGAGAAATGCAGGTAGAATGAAGAAATACAGCTATAGCAATGGAGTGACAGAAGAGAAAAGAAAAGACTTCTTTCTAAATGTACACAAGGAGACAGGTGTGAAGGCAGAAGACTGCGAGAAGTAACAGGGAAGAGGTGGGACAGGAGCATTATGGATAGATCCTGGTACCTTGCCTACAATCAATGTTTTGGGTTTTTTTTTTGGTTTTTTATGGGACTACATTACAACATGAGAGAGTACATAAAAGAGAGTACCTCAGGAGATGGGGAGTAGAACTCCTAGGGGCAACTGGTACCTGGGGGAGTAGAAGAGAATGATTTTGAGGTAAATGGGGAAAAACATAATCAATGGAGGGCATAGATCAGTTATGCTCTGCATAATCAGGGATGTGGTAGAGGAGAGGCCTTACCATGCACCAGGGTCCTTTCTAATCCCAGCAATAATTGGTACTGTTTGGGAGTGAGGCACAATGAGTAAGAAGAGGCCAGTGTACAAGTTCTACAAGGCACTGGCAGAAAGCACACTGAGGACAGAACTTAAAATGGATACCTTGAAAGTTCTGATTTCATGAGGAATACAGAGAAAAGAAAGAGACTAGATAAATACAGTTGTCATTAGTCATTACAGAAGAAACTTCGCAGAACAAATCCCCTCATTGAAAGGATTTATTCTGTAAAATCTTGGACTCAGTCAAAAAGCCACATTTGAGGACCTGGAAGGCCACATGTGGCCTCGAGGCCACAGGTTCCCCACCCCTGGTCTAGAGTAAACAGAAAAAGAGGATCAATAATGAAGAGAGTAAAAGAAATCTTTTTTGGAAGGGGGTACAAAAAATTAAAGTTAAAAAAATAATGAACAGGACTAGCTGAAAGGAAGGAGAGGAAGAGGGCATCTACTTGACTGAGAAGAAAAAAATGGGGAGGGGAAGAATTATATAACAGGTGAGAAAAAAAGAAATAATAAGCAAAACTCCAAGGTAAAAGGACAGAAAAGGGAAGGAAGGGATCGGGGTGACGGAAAGAGAGCCAGTGGGAACAGAACTTTTATAAAGATTAAGGTAAAGTAACTGGAGAAACTCTGTTTACAGCAGGAGTACTGTGTCTGTAATAGAAGAGGGGAGAAAATACTAATTTAGAAAAAAAAATATTAGAGACAAATGGAGGAAAATATAAAACTAACTCATAACTTTAAATGTGAATGAATTAAACAATCTGATAAAACAAATATGTGACAAATTAGATAAGAAAACAAAATCTTATGATCTGTGGCTTATAAGAAACACATTTAAAAAACAAAGACACATACAAAATAAAACTG